CCGTCACATTAATTATACCAATTACTATATACATGCTCTACAGCAGGGCTTTTCAACCGGTGGTACGCGTACCCCAAGGGGTACGCCAACCACCCTTGGGTCTAAAACAAAAAAAATGCCTAGGTGTTCTGACCAGAAGGGTGGAGGTAAAAACTGCCTGAGTGCCTGCTTGCCATCCTAGTTCCCACTTTTTTTTAATTTTCGCTGGCCCTCCCTTCCTTCCTGCCCCTTACCTTCCTCCCACAGAGCCCCAAGAGAGGCCTGCAGGAGGGTCCCATTGTCCAGACTTCAAAAATTCAATTTTTACTCAATTTTCAAATTTCTGCAAGCGTTGCAGGTGCACAGATCCTTTCTAATTTTTTTTAATTTGGAAAAAGCTTCAAAATTGAGTGAGATATCATGACAAATGCAAAATGTTTTTGAAAATTGAGAAAAATTGTTTTACATTTTAATTTTCAACCAATTTATTTTTCAAAATTTCTCTGATTTAAAAATTTCTAAATTTGTTAACCTTTAATGCGCATCAATCCCTCAAAAAAATTTTCAAATAGAGCAAATTTTAAAGGAACTATAGTGAGCCTAAGAGAAATTTTTGAATTTGTTTGTCATGTTTCTCAAACTTCGAAAATTTGCGGAACATTCAATATTCAACCAAACTAAGTTTTAAAACTTTTAATACAAATAACATGGTGTTGGCCACATTTAATTTTTTTAAATTTCCAAAAAAGTTTCAAATTGATGGATTGACAATGAAAAATGCAAAACTTCTAAAGTCAGGAGGAAATTTGGAAAAATATTTTCATATTTTCATTTTTAACTGATTCAACTTCCAACATTCTCCCCCATTAAAAATATAAATTTGTAAAACTTTAGTGCGCATCTAACCAGCTGCAATACATTTTTTAATTGATCAAATTTTAAAGAAATTAAAGTGAGCTAAATTTAAATATTTTAATTTTTGCGTCCCAATTTTGACATTTTAAAAATTTTTAAAAACTTTTTTATGTAACCAAACTTCTAAATGAAAATAAGGTAAGATGCATGTTAAAGTGTTCCATGTTTTCTTATTTTAAAATCTAAAAAATATCAAGAATTGACAGAGTTATGATGAAAAGCAGAAAACTTTTTCAAAAATTGAGCCAAAATGTTTTACTTCATGGGGGGGGGGGGGGCAACCAGGGAGGGGGAGG